TAAATAAATATGCTTGGAATGTTGCAGTAACTTTTTCATTATTATAGACTAACCGGAAGTGGCACTTTACTAGTTTATTATGATATAAACATATTTGCACGAAAACGGTTAAAATCTAATTTTCATTCTGATTGATGTTATCTAACAGTGCTTAAATGGCTAGTTTTCAATATTAACTCCCTCTGAAGTACGAAATAATATTTGTTGTGCGATGGAAGTATTTAATTATTTTAAGTTGTTTCGAAATCTATAACGGCGCTTTAGATAATTTCTCTGATTTTTGTAGGAGATCCAGCAGATAGCACAGATTTTCCTGTGATCAGTAGAGGACTCAATATTTAATTTTGGAGGGCTCGGTGTTGTTTTTACTTTCACTTGCCTATTTATGTAATAGATAGTAAGAGTAAGTATTGTGATCGTGAACATTTTTGAATCTGAGTTTTCAACGGAAATACACGTTATGAGGTCCCCTGTGTCCAAACAACCAAGTCCCGCAAAATGGTCTGTGTGTGTGTGTGTGTTAACAGTCTAGCTCAAAAACAAAAAGTCGTGCGAAAGTGAAATTTCATATGTAGAGTTTTTATATGGTAGAGATGTTACAGCAAATTTTTCGTCAAAATCGGCTTACCGGAAGTGGCACATTATATAATGGACTAAATATATGTTTACGATTATCTCGAAAACCGCTATAACTATTTTGATTAAATTTATCATATCAGTGTACAATTAAGCATTTTAAAATAAAATGTGTTTATTATTCTGATTGATGTTCTCTAACAGGGCTTAAAAGGCTAATTTTCAATATAAAATTTCATATCATAGGGATGTTACACCAACTTTTTCGTCAAAATCGGCTAACCGGAAGTGGCACTTTATATAATGGACTAAATATATTTTTACGATTATCTAGGAAACCGCTATAACTATTTTGATTAAATTTATCATATAAGTGTACAATTAAGCATTTTAAAATAAAATGTGCTTATTATTCTGATCGATGTTCTCTTACAGGGCTTAAAAGGCTAATTTTCAATATTAGCTTCCTCTAAAGTGCCTTTAATTTTTACTTTCACTTACGTATATATGTAATATATAGCATGTGTAAGTATTGCGGTCGAGAAAATTTTTGAATCTGAGTTTTCGACGGATTTATACGTTTTGAGGTACCCTGAGTCGAAATGACCAAGTCCCGATAAATGGCCTGTGTGTCTGTGTGTTTGTATGTTAGCAGTCTAGCTCAAAAACGAAAAGTCCTATGAAACTGATATCACGTATTTAAGATAGGTATATGCCTTAGTTGTGACGGAAACTTTTTCCGTAAAATCGGCTAACCGGAAGTGCCACTTTATATCAATGCTGAAACACATTTTCACAGTTTTCTCAAAAACGGCTCTAACGATTTTGATTAAACTCGGTGTATCATTGTATAATTAAGTGGTCTTTTATATAAAGTAGGTCTTATTCCCATTGATGTCACTTTACAGGGCCTAAATGCCCAATGTTCATATACGTCTTCCTCTAAAGTATCTTTAATTTGGTTTATTTTAAAAAGATAATTATTGCGCATTATTCAGAGTTACGAAAAAATGCTAAATATAACTTTTGAAAGAATTTGATAAGTTAATAAAGGAGGACCGATTTCATTGAAACTTCGCTAAAGTCATTTTCTCGACACCCTTCAAATTTATCTATATAACATTCATCAGCGAAAAGAAGCTGAAAAAAAGTTACGATGGATGATAAAATTAAATTCAGAATAACTCAAAAAGTATACACTTTTTGGGGAATGTTGTATTATGGTTTTCTAAAAATTTATGAAATAACCTAAAAAAAAAATATCGTTAAAATCGGATAATTAGGAGGAAAGATATGGTCTCTAGTTTTTTTTTAATACATTCTGCTGCAAAGGTTATATCCTTTCTTTCGGTTTTTGAATTTTGAATGTGTTAATAAGGTAATGCTAATTTTTTAAAAATGTATTTAAAATCCGCCTAAGCAAGTTGATGGCATTGTTAAAAAAACTATTTCAGTGTACTTGTGTGAAAAAAGAAATAAAATATAAAATCATTTCATGGATGTATAAATCATGTGTTTATAATATTAAATACATTTACTGTAGTTTATTAATTATTTATTAAATTTTAAATTGGTTCATAATCGTCTTATCTTTTTGGCTACATTCAAGGAATTGCTGTGTTATATATGTGTGCGATGTTATATTGCGTTCCTGGCGTTTGAGAATTTAAAGAGAAAAAAGGAATTTTTTTTTATTTTGGGAAAGTGTTTATTATGCTATGTCTATTGTTTAATATGGCTTATTGTTGATAATTTGTAAGAGTATTGTTATGAAGGGGGAGAAAAAGAAAAGAAAAATATGATATAAAATTAATGTCCGTATGGATTGATAAGTATGCTGTGTACGAAGCAACCCTATGTAGTAGGGCAGCATTACTTGGGGGTGGGGTGGCCGAATAGGCTAAAGAAAACTAAATTAGTGAATAATTCGATAGATCTTCTCTTTGTGATATTCCTCTAACATTTCATTGTACTTGTGTGAAAAAAGAAGTGAAATACAAAAATATTTCATAGATACGTTTATAACCCTAAATATATTTACTGTAGTTTAATAACTCTAGATCTCATAATATATTTAAATATTTAGATATCTATCGTCCGTTTATTCCGAAAAATCATCATGTAACCTTTTAGAAAATTAAATTAGTGAATAGTTTGATAATTCTTCTTTTTGCGATATTGAAACAGAATCCACTTACTATTAGTGTGACAACTTTTGGCCTGTCTATGACAGACACTGCAAATCTCTTAATTCCGTTTTAATAAACATTGCAATGGAAAATAACAGTTTAATGACTTATAGTCGTACAATCCATAATCAATGGATCGAACAATCCATAATCAACGAATCGTACAATCCATAATCAACCGGTGATATAATAAATAGGAGTTTTGTTTTTTTAATAGCATTTGTGTTTTTTTAGCTTTAGCTCAGTTTAAAATGCAATTTAAAACATTTTATAATAGCCTAACATGGCCAGAAAATAATTTTTATTCAAAGTTCAAAGAGTAAGTGAAAGTTGTGTGTTGCGCGCACCAGATTTTTTTTTATTCGAAACCATTGACCATTTCACATTCATCTCTATTACAAAAGATAACTAAATATAAAAGATGAAATAATATGATATTTAACTAAAGGAGAAATAAAAGATTTTAACGGAGAATAGTTGTAATGGAGGAGCCAAAGGAATACGATACATAACATGAACATAATATAATATATAAGTATGACTCAGTTATTATGTTTTTAATTTACTTATCTTTAGGTTATTTTATTTTTTATTGTAGAATAGAATAGAAAAATAATTTTATTGTGGGACACAGTTCCTTGAGAATAACAAAATAAAAAGATTACATCTGGCCAAAATAAAATCAATCGAAAAAATTGTACATGGTTTTTTGATTATTATTTAGTTATTATTTTACTTTTGTTAATTTTATGTTTTTGGTATATGTGGTGTGAATGTGTTCATATTCACTATAATTATTATCCACGTTACAGATTATTATATTTCTAAATAAGAAAAAAAAAATATATATAATAAGGACTCCGACAATATTAGGTAAATATACATATAATTATAAGACAAGACTGGTTAAAAAAAATCAATTTTCAAAAAATAAAAATTAAGGCAAAGTAGTTACTAATACCCGACAATCTTATTTACTTTTTTTTTTTAAAACTTATTTATTGAAAAATATTACAATCTGTCTCTAGGACTTTTATAATAGAGTTCACAGATCACATTCACACTCTATGTACAATAAATAAAATAAATTATACAGAAAAATAATATATATACAATAAATAAGAATAAAATAACCTAAAAATAAATAAATAAAAACAAGACATACACACCTATATACTATGTGTAAAGAATTGTATACGAATATACTTATGCATTTAACTCCTCTTAATTTTCATTCTGGCTTAGATAGGTTTCTTCTACATAAAAAATTACAGTAATATCTCTATAGTAATAAGCTAACAAGTAACTGCAAGACTGTTGCAAGACTCTTGAGCAAGACCAAGACTCCTCTCGGTCTCGCATTTGGACAACACTACACTCTGGCATTGATTCCCCGCCCTTACCCCTGGCGTGAAAAAAATCCGTATAACCTAAATGACGAAGAGGATGACAGAAAAGAAAAATACTTAACCAAATATATAGCAGCGGGACTTTCGGATCTCTTGTACAATTTTGTTTAGAATATTCGAAACTAAGAAAAACTTTCTTACCTTCATTAATGAGGAAGAAAAAAGAATGAGTTATTTAAATTTTAGAATAAAAATTCTTTCATATTGTACTCTTTCAGTTATTTGAATGAATCGCAAGTGATCTATCAGCTGACAACTCCGATAAGATCATAAGCTTACAAATAATATTTGGTGTGTAAATACAAACCGGCTTGAAGAAAACACTTGATATAATACAAATCAATATCGCCATTAGAGATTATAGGTCTACAACGACAACCGTTCTACAACGAACGGACTTGACAATTCACTCTGCGAATAGTCGGAAATGGAAAATAATGGAGAGTATTACGTAGACAAAGCCTTCCAAGAAATCTTTTTTTTCCCGAGGCTCATCGGTACATTTCCGCTGGATCGCAATTATAAACTATCATGGCGGCTTTTGGTATTCGTTATCGATTTAATTTTGTTCCTTCATTTAATCGTATACGACTTCTATAGGATCGATAATTTTGTTGATACCTATATTGTGTTATTACTCAGAGTCCTTTCTCTAATTCCTCCGTTTTTAAATTTCGCTAGTGTTTATTTCAAAGTTGGAAGATTAAGGGATTTATACAAGGATCTTCTCGCGTTCGAACAGTCAACTCGAGAATTAGGTGTGCCGTGGTGTTATCGGTTCAGGTGGTGGAAGAAATACCAGGGTTTGGCGGTCTTCATGCTTTCAATGTTTACTTTGCCAATTCGCAATTACAGGAAAGTTTTCCCGGCTATAGTAAAACGCATTCACTATTTTATGGTACTTTTATCAATCGCAGAACAGATTTCTGCAATTAGTTCACTTTTGGCTTCCGCCATCTGTCACCTCAAGAACATCAGAGAGGATAAAGTGCTCTTGAGAAAGTTCGAGCAGTTGGTATTCCTCCGCAAAACTATCGAAGAATATTTCGGTCTTCAAATCCTAGCCATGATTGCGACATTATTCGTTTCACTTTTAACCCTAGCCTTTTGGACGGCTACAATGATGATCAATATGGTTAAAGCTACAATAATTTTTTGTGGATTCTTGTACTTGAATACATTGATATATATTTCGTTGCAGTCAATAGTTTCTCAGGTATGTAATATATAATTATTATTCAATTTATTTAGGAAATGTTTGCCTGTGGAAACATTGAATTGGATTGAAGCTAAGGGAAGATATAAAAAAAACAACATCATTTTTCACTTACCATACTACTTTAATTTTTTTTCATCGATAGATAAGATCGAAATTCACAAAAACTTTCTTAAAACTTCACTTCAGTAAAACTAGAAAAAATGTATTTAGACTTTAATATCGCATTTCTCCTAGATTTTATCCCTCAAAAATTTTCCAAATTCAACCAAAACCTTACACATATCCAAATCCAATTGCACACTCACTCTCTAGCACTACTCATCCCTACAATCCTCCTCGAAGCTTGAAGCAGCAGTGGCCCAGAGACTTGTTGTAGGAATATATTGGAGTTCTGGCAATGCCTAGATTCTCCACTCAAGCCATGTATATCTGGTTGTAGTGTCTCTGCTCAGCCTCCATTGCTAATAAAAGTGATGCGGCTGAGTGGGACGCTGGGATCTCTTAGAGTCCTACCTTTCCCTCCATGAGTGTGGGGAAAGGCTTGGCTCGGAGATCTTGAGTGAATGAATATTGTAAATATTGTATAAAAGCATGTGAGTATTTAAGTATTTATTTTATTAGACTAGTTTAGTATATTTATACATTTAATTTTAGTATCATTACATTGCTGTTTATTATTTTTATTAATTGTACATAGTATGAATGATCCATTCTTTATCACTATTACTTATATATCCTTGAATGTGATATATTGTAATATATCTCAATAAAGAAATATCAAAATTCTCGGAATTGAGGGCGTTTTCAATCTTGAGGTCGGCAAGCTTTGTCTATTTAATTACGTACTAAAAACTCGTAAGTACCCATTTTCTGTCCAATTGAATCGTAAGATAACTTGAGCACAAAGCTGAGAAAAAATGTGGCCTTCAAAAATATTGAGCCTTTGGGCCTGACCTTATCCCCAAATTGTCAATATAATGAGGTTATATAGGCCTTACTAATGGTGAAAATTTGGGGGTGTAGGTCACGCCAAACGCTAAATACTTTTGAAGGCCACATTTTTTCTCGGCTTTGTGTTCAAGTTATCTTACGATTCAAGTGAAAAGCAAATGATATAAATTTTCAAATTTACCTTCAGTACCTCTCTAAGGTAACGACATTTACCTAAACTGCATCAATCCGAAGTTATTACCATCTTTCTATCCATGACCATCTCTAATTATTTTTAGCTCATGAAATATGATTCTAATTTATGATATAGATTTAAATTTTCCAACCAGCCGTTCTGAAATTATAATCTGGCAATGTTGGGCTATTACAAAGTTTTTAAGTGCAAATTTAATAGAGATAAATCTTAAACATTACAGCTAACAAAACATTAAGACCATCAAAATAAGGAAAACCCTGTTTATTATATTAACTGTAGGCAATAAAAACCTCGTAACTCCATTTGTTTTTATAAACCTCATAACTCCAATCTCTGAGTTATCTATGCCTAGGGAGATTTGAAAGTACATCTTTATATTTAATCTATAAATGATTATATGAATATTAATTATTAAACTCTTATTTTCCATTGTAAAGTTTACTAAAATGAAATTACGAGGTTTTCATTTCCTGCCATAGATAAATCATGAGTTGTCACACTGATTGTAAGTGGATAATATTATGATTTCACTAAGCAAAAACTCATCAAATTATTCACTATTTTAATTGTCTAAAATGTTACATGATGATTTTTCGGATTGATTTATAGTTATTTAAATATAATATCGGATCTACAGTTATTAAATTAAATGTAATGCAAATGCGTTTAAGATTATAAAAAGATGTTTTAAACATCCATGAAATTTTTTTGTATTTGACTTCTTCTTTTAAACAAGTAAAAATGAAATAGGTTTTTAAACAATTTCATTGCCTTGATTTGGTGGATTTTATATATATTTTTTTTCAAGCTAAATTTTTTTCTTTGTTTCCTTCCTACCAAATATAGGGAAGCATTTTATTCGGGCGAGAGATTAAAAAACAATTTATGCTCACAAATGAAAATTTCCACTCGTGTTTTACCTTTCAGACATCAAGGATCAAATAAATATTTTTTTTTTTAATTGTTGAGCTAAAAAAGACCAAGATGTACCAAACACTTATGTATTTTCAATATACAACAATACTTGGTGTATTTTAACTAAGCCTGCTGTAGTTCATAGTTCTAGAGACCTAAGCATGGAGTAGTTCACAAGAAATTGAAAGAAGTCATAAATATTCCCTTGGACATCCTAGGAACAAATAGTTTTATATTATACCAAGACTAGTTGGTACATACTATACCAAGACTAGTTGGTACATATCCACTAAAGTATAACTATGGGGGGATTTTAGTTTTCTTAACAGATTTCATCTTGAACATTGCCATCAAGATTATCAAATTCAGAACAAGCAAAAAAACTTTTTGAGCTTGATTCTCATTATATTTTCGCATTCTTCAATTACATCTTTTGCTCATCAATTTCGTCTGTTTTTATTTCCAACTCAAGCGAGTTAAGAAATTTTTCAAAGAATTTCTTGCATATGAACAGTTTACACATAGGATTGGATGTTTCGTTACAGGAGGTGGAACAAATATTTGAGTCTAGTCTAGTCTGGATTAATTCTTCAGGAAGAACTTTGATAGGCATGAAATCATTAGTATAGAATCAGACCTCCTCGGAATAATATTTGTATAAATAAATTATTGGCTACTTTCAAATTTTAAATAATTAATTCTTCATCTGTGTAATACAATAAAGATAATTTAATCTTACTTTTTCAGACAAAGAAAATTAATAAACTGTTGTACAGAAGATTATTAAATAATCCTAATGATGTGAGTATGAATTCAGAGCATTTCATTAAAATTTCATAGGTTCACAAATTACTTATGTTTACTAATTATACTTACTAACTAAAATAATATATTACTGTTAATTGTTTATCATATTTAGTAATTGGTTTTTAAGAATATTACACTTTCTATGGTTTCTACTCATTTGGATCTACCTCGCAAAGGGGTTTTAAATTATTCCAAAGTATAAACATTACTCATGATAAAAAATGGAAAAAATATATTACTACACTGCATAAACGGTAAAGAGAAACTAGATTATGATTATAATAAAAAAGTGGAATTATTTTCTCATCATCGGTACCCTGTTAGCAGCGAAGCTTTTTCCTGGGTCTCCCAAATATTCATTAGGTTCGAGGGCTTCTGAGCACGGCACTTTTAACATGAGAAGTGTATTGATTCCCCTCACTTCAGTTGCAGAATACCAAAGACTATCAAGCACATTTTTTAGTTCTTAATTTATTTAAAATTCCTGATAGAACTCAAATTAATATCTGTGAGGCAATAAACAAAACTCTAGAACACTCTTCAGTATGCTCCCTATAGTTTTACATTATGTTTAAAGTTGTTGATTAAAGAATTGTGGCATCTTCTAATTTTATTATATCCCTGAAAATACTGAATCAACATAATTATTCAATGTGCCTTTAATAATTTTTCAAAAGTACAGAGTGAGGCAATGAAAAATGTAATACTTCATACTTTAATAATCTAATTGTTTTTAGTTGTAAACAATTACTCTTCTTGTCATACTTTTACTCATTAAAAAAAATTCTTTACATGTTCTATTGGTACAGAGTCCATGAAAGGGAAGATACCAGATTACCTCTTTCTAGGAATATAAACTATAAATATCTATTTTTTAGTTTTGGTGCCATTTTTTATGTTTTATTAAAAACTATTCGGCCAAAGGTCACCAATAATAAATGTTTTCGCTTTATGTATTTATTATTCAACATTTCGGCATCATGAGCCATTTTCAAGGTTCTGCGAACAAATTTTAATTTAGTTATTTTACTTTAAAATATATCATTTTAAAACATATAGTAATTTATAAACAGTCAGTTACATACTTAGTCCTTATTCTATTTTAGAATTTTTTTTTTTCATATAACGACAATTTTTGAATATTTTGGTTTAAAATTAATGTGAAAATTATCTACCTACCATGCACCGTTTCATAAAAATTTTCTAAAATTTATCATTATAATTCGTCAGCTGATCATTCCTTTATTTCATCGAATATAATTTTTATTTCTAAAAGTTATATATAAATAATTAAAAGACAATGTTAAATTTTAAGAAAAGAATACAAAAATAATATAATTTGATCTCAAAATATGTACCTCCTTAGTAGAAGATTTTCAACTATAACGCATTCATTCAAGACTAGATTTATTTTATAATAAAGGAGTGGGGTGGAGAGACAGGGATCCGTTATTTTATGTGTTTTATTTGAAGTAATATTTATATTTTAATTTTTTCTATTGTGCTAGCATAAAAAGTATTAATTAGAATTAGTTTTTTTGTAATGAATATTGACTCTGTTATTCTCCGTTTTTTAATATTCTGTTCTTTATGTAGAACCAACACTGTACAAAAATCAAATTTATGTCTATTATTTGTGATGTGTTGGGATAGTCCTGTTGCCAATTTTGATTTTGTCATTTTAGACATGCAATTGTATTGTGTCTTTGTATCCTATGTTCAAAACATTGTGAAGTTTGTCCGTAGTATGCTTTATTTTCACAATCCTCGCATTGTATTTTATATTTAACATTAGTCAAGTTTTCTTTAGGAATAATATCCATAGTTTTACTATATAATTTTTCTAATTTATTAATTGGTTTATTTCCAAATTTTATTTTGTTTAGGTCATATTTTTTAAAAGTGTTTTATATTTTATTAGTTAAATCTGTAATATAAGTGACTGAAAAATATTTTTTGGGGTTAGGGTCTGAGTTATTATTCTTATTTTGCAGAATCTTGAAAATGTCTCAAGAAGCTGAAACGTTGCATAATAAATACATAAAGTTAAAA